TGCAAAGAAACACACCATATTCTTTCAGACAACCTGAAGCACTGGCTAACTCATTACCTAACAGTACCAGTCACAGCTCTGAAACTCTGATGCAATGGTCTGTGCTACAGCTATGTGTCATCCTTTGCACCAGCATCTGAGCTGAAGACACAATGGGGTGTAAGTATCTCCAAGCCAGAATATTTTCAAGCCTATTAAATCACCTCCCAGTCAACGTACACCTCACAGGCTCAGGAATTTTCATCTGTGTATTCACGGATGTATTCTCAGGACCTAGAAGTGCCTGGCACAAAACACTATGTAATCAGTTGTTCAGTGAATGGTCATTACCATGAATAGTCACGTCTAAAAAGAACGTATTGCAAAGCTGTCATAAAAATGCTAAGGGCGCCTGGGTGGCTGTCGGTTGGGTGTCTGCCTTCAGCTCGGGTCATGATCCCAGGGTCCTGGGATCGAGTTCCGCACTGGGCTCCCTGCTCGGCAGGAAGCCTGCTTCTCCCTCTCCCACTGCCCCTGCTTGTGTTCCCTCTCTCGCTGTGTCTCTGTCAAATAAATAAATAAAATCTTAAAAAAAAAAAAAACACAAATCTGAGAAGGCTGAGCTCTATTTACTTGAATTACATGTAACCCACAAAAAAAAGAAAATCCAGTTAGATTGACAAAATATCTCATCCTGAAATATCTTCGAAGAGTGTATTCCTAAGCAAAACTAACATATTTAAACCTATAGCCATGCCACACGAGACTGTAAAACACTATTAAACCATAAATACCACTAGCGGCTAGATGTGTTTAGACAGAAAATGAAAAAAAGATTAAATGTTTTTAAAAACTTGCAAAGAAACTCATGTTACAAGTAGCATAAAAGGTTTAAAATATCCGCTGGACAAATAACTACTCTCGTTTGCATTCTGACCCTCCTTCTACTCTATTTCTCCTAGCACACTATCACATTAAATGGAATTCATTCACTGATTCATTTGTTTATAGGTTTGTTTTCTTCATAACTGTACACTTTTGAGAGAGGCAACTGGACTTATGCATCCTTTTATCTCCATACTTTTATCTCAATACCTGATAAAAATAAATTTCTATCAACAAATTATTAATAGAAAGATATAGTTGAACATTAACAAGAAAACAATGTATAACATCAGTTAACCAATCAAAGAAATTGAAATGTGGTTTCATAAATTCAAAAGACTTCTGTGATAATCCAAGCAATAATGCTTTCTGAAAAGAAAATCGAACTGTGATTAATTGCAAAAAGAAAAAAACTACACCTCTTTCTCAGAATTACTCAGTGGGAACATTATTTCTGCTTTATAATGAAAAGCCCATTGTATGGATCCAAAGATTGGGAAATAAAGAGAAAAAATGTCTACACTCTCGTAGTGTAAGATTTTTATAATAAAATGCTTTTAGAGATCAGCCATAAGTTAGGTAAGTTACAGAGGTGTTCTGGACAACTGGAAAGCAACAATATACTGGCCACTAAAGAAAGTCTAGGTCAATGAACACTCATGAGCTCTTGTCATGAAATGTCATGTGCTTCATTATGTAATCTCAGCTCCCGGTGAGCATGTTCTGACTATAGCCAAAGTAAAGGAAAACAGGAGTGTCTCTAAATCAATCATGGGCCATGAAGCCAGACTGTATGACAGATGCAATTTTTCTTGGCACCACTTGGGCATAACTAATTGATGACAATCGTATGTCCACACTGGCACATTTCCACGGGGGATGTGTGTGAATATGTCACCACATCTGGATGCTAGGCATGCTGGGTCCTAAGGCACAAAGATCTACTAAAACGAGAGGCCCAGCAGCTGTGCTCAATGAACACCGTGGGAGCTCCACAGGGTGATGAAAGGACTAAATTACTGCAAACTGTAAATACAGATTTATTTCATTAAAACAGGAGGTAACAAAAAAAAAAAAATAGGAGGTAACGCTGCAGCCATCTCTTGTGCAAACAGACATTTGTCTCCTAAAAAAAAAAAAAGGTAGCATCTATGGATACACATATTCCTAACTCCGTCGAGAAAATATGCATTTCTCTGAGGAAAAAGATGACGATGCACATGAGACAAAATCAACAGTTTCTATGACTCCCTTTAAATAAAAAAATCCCTATTCAATAACTAGCAAGGACAAATAGGATAATCTACTGTCACTGTGTTAGCAATAGTTCTAGAATCCTCCATTTAATTCAAACATGAAATCTGCATAACTTGTTATATAGCCATGTTGAAAATTCAACAGATCACAGTAAAAAAAAAAAACTATTAATATATAATTTCATCTTAATATGAAATTGATCAATATAAGTGGTTAACGTTTCCTAACTCACAAATAGAGAAATTAGACTGAACAATTTTACTCTGATCCTACATAATAAATTATTAATAAGTTGATTATTAAAGAACTATTTGAACAAACTATGACAATTATGTGAAATGACAGAACGCTCTCTCACATCAAGTCTGACATCCTGTTCATAAAATTACTTCAATAAAGCACAAATTATAACTGAGATACTATTTATATATGTTTAATTAAATATCTCCCATAAATCTTAAGTAATTATTTTTCCCCCGCAGGGTGACAGAAATCATCCTAAAACAGCAATTTGTCTTATGTCCTCACGGATCAAAGTCAAATTTTAATCAGGTCAGAAACTGAGATTTAATTTGTTTCATCCCTTTTCTTTCCAGATCATTTTTTCCATCCCTCTTATTCTTTTCCCCTCACATCCTGCTTCCATCAAGCTACCCTACAGTCATGATGCTCCCCAACTTTGCATCCACCTCACTCTGGACCGATTTTCCAAGATGTCTGGTTAACACAGGCTGGTCAATGGGTATTAGAGAGGGACGTCAGATTAATCACTCCCTTCCCAAAAGATAACTAAGACAGGAAAGCCATCTTTCTCTACTTCATTAAGATTGTCACTCATATCCTAAACATTTGTGGTGATAGAAGGCATTACTAATACATTGACTTCTTACATGTGGACTGAATAAAGAAAACAACTTCTTTTTAGGAAAATCATAAAAGATTCTTTGACACATCCTTTCCTTATGTAGGTCTGCAAATGCTTTAAGTGGCAAGCGTCTGGTTAAAAGGGCAGCCCTGTACAATACCGGATAAGAAAACGGGCAATGGTGACCAAAAATGAGACTTCATATGTGAAAATCAAAAAACAAAGTCAGGGCGGCACCTGGGTGGCTCAGATGGTTGGGCGTCTGCCTTCGGCTCAGGTCATGATCTCAGGGTCCTGGGATTGAGCCCCACATTAGGCTCCCTGCTCAGCGGGGAGCCTGCTTCTCCCTCTCCCCCTCCCCCACTCGTGCGTTCTCTCTTTCTCATGCGCTTGCTCTCTCTTAAATAAGTAAATAAAATCTTTTTTAAAAAGTCAGTGATTTTTCTCATCTTCTATCTTCAATTTTCTAAGACTATACTAAACATGGAAACATCTACATCACAGAAAAGCTGGTCCTACCACAAAATAGTATTTTGACTCTCTGTATATGAAAAACACTAACTATGGATCACAAGAAGGCAGAGTGGGGAAGGAGTGAGAGAGGGAAGGAAGGGAGAAAATGCAGCTGATACTAAAATGTTAGATCCACTTGGGGCACCTGGGTGGTGCAGTCAGTTAAGTGCCAGACTCTTGGTTTTGGCTCAGGTTGTGATCTCAGGGCCCCGATCTCAGGGTCGTGAGATTGAGTCCCACATCAGGCTCTGCACTCAGCGGGAGTCTGCTTGAGATTCTCTCTCCCTCTCCCTCTGCCCCTCCCACTCATGCTCTCTCTCTCTCGCTCAAATAGGTAAATCTTTAAAATAAAAAAATAAAATGTCAGATCCACTTATTTCATCATGTAAGTCTCTTCACCACTATTAATAGCTGGGACATTCAGGATTCTGCACCCCATCTTGCATAGACACTATGACTAGTTCTGGGCAAATGGTTGAGCTTATTATCTTATCATTTGTCCCAGAAAAAGTGTAAGATAGACATCTAAAAGGAATTTTCATTAATAGACATTAACAGTTTTTTCAACACACGTTAACATTCTGGTGAACAAACGAATTATATTTACTAAATAGAGTTTGCTTGTCTCTCTGACTTATGGTACCATGTCAAAGAAGCTGCAAGAGAACCAGCTTCTCTAGCAAAGAGGCAGCAGGTATCTACTCCCAGGGACAACTCCAGACAGTCCCTTCACGGACTCCAGGACAGGGATCCAAAGGTGCACAGGACCGATGCAAAGTACTGCAAGGGTCTGTCACCCACTGACCCCATCTTTACATCCCTCAAACCCTTTATCCAAGGTCATGGGGAATAATCTGGAAATGCAGAGTTCTCAAATTCTCCATTTGCTCAAGATCCTCCAAGAGCAGAGTCTAGTGCCCAAATGCCAAGTGGCAGGCACAGCTACTACCCTGATTCTTATTCCAGAAAGTGTATGGTGTTAGGAAAAGAACATTTGCACCAGTCTTGGTGAATATGAGAGAATATGAGAGCGAACCCAGTCGGACATTAACCAGCCCACAGGATCACCACCGGGTCTCACTCAGTCTTCAAAGACCTCTCATTTGAGATACTTTTCTTCAGTCAGTGTGAACACCAAAAACCAAAAAGGGACAACTCAATGTGGTTCTAATGATTTATTTGACCTCCTTCCCCAAATCCAACCAGAAACAACTTCTGTTTTTCCCCATTAGTAAAAATCCTGGAATTCAGTATAATAGTTTCCCTTTCTAAAATGAGCCTGTATTTAGGTTCTGTGGTATTAGAGACAGCAAAACGAGGTAGCCAGAATAGGGTTTTTACAACTCAGTTTCTTTACCTGTGATTACATATGTACAACTCCACTGTAAGTAAGAAAATCATCCAGATGCAAGTCATCGCTTCTCCTTTTCTCTCTCTCTCTCTCTCTCTCTCTCTCACACACACACACACACCTCACAAGATTCGTGCTACAAGCACTGACCTGACTTTCTTGCCCTGTTCTGAGAGCATCTTCACCAAGTCGGCGATGGGGTACTGCGCTTTGGCTGCACAGAGACCATAGCCTGCAAAGAACATGAAGCACACAGAAGAGGGTGATTTTTATTTGGAAATCTTATGAATAATAATTTCTCCCTTGATCAAGACATATTTTTATGCCAAGGAAGGCAATCCGCTAACAGGATGAGACATGAAAGCAAACTTCTGGCCTTTTTAAAGTATTAGTCTAAATCTCAGATTCAAAATCTAATGGTCCCTCCTCAGTCTTCTGCCTTGTTTGATACTGCTGGGCACTCCCTCCCCACACACCACACCGCACACACACTTGTGTATGCACACACTTTGTGTGTGGGTGCCCCTGTGGCTCACGTAAATGGCTTCAAACCGTCTTCATACTTGGTTTTGAGAAGACTGCAGTTCCCTGGTTCCCCTCCTCACTTTGTTACTAGTCTTCCTTGACATCCTTGAATAGATCTCCTTCTGTTTCCCTTAAACAATGAAACTCCCCAGGGCCTTGGCTTTGCCCGTCACACTCTCCTTGGAAAGTCTCGGCCTGTCCCATGGCTTCAAGAACCATCTGATGACTCCCAATCTGTGTCCAGCCTCAGCCTGTCCTTTAGCTCCAGGATGGCATGTCCATTGTCCTATCTCCACCTCAAACTTAATGTCTCCTAAAAAGAACTTAAAAATTTCCCCCTCTGCCAAAAAAACCCAAAAGTGCTCCCTATTTCTGATGTTATTACAGGTGTAACCACAAACTGCAGTCCTCTTCCTTCTTCTTTAACCCCTACATTCTGTCCACTCCCCCTGTACAATCAGTCTCACCTGTCCCCGCTCATCTACCCCCAGTTTTCCAAATACCAAGTGTCTGCTCAGGCTGTTCCCTCTGCCTTCCCCACGCCCAACACCATCTATCCTCAAGGCCCAAAACAAACCCTCACATCCTAACAATGCTTCTTAGGTTCCTCATGATTAAAAAGAAAGTGTGTCTACACGGTCTAATCTAGCCCTTATCATAACCCACCGTGCACTATTTATTGATCTGACTTCTTCCCTGGATGGAAAATGTCTAAAAAAAAAAGAGTGTGCCCTTTACATCTTTCCACCTCTACACTCCAGTTGTGTTTCTCACCAGGTAACACTAACGCCGCCTTGGCTGGGACCATTCATGATGCAGGGATGTCCCAGGTAATACAACATATTTAGTGTGTCTGCTCTCACACACTAGTGGACAGTAGCAGCCCCATCTGTGAGACGAAAACCCAAATCCACAAGTTTCAAATGCCTCTAGAAAATGATACTGCCCCAATTGAGAAGGCTTGCACCTGAACATTCAATTCTGCTAGTGTTTGGTATTTACATCTTAGCATATAACCAACCAGCAAACCACCCACATGTCAAATCAATAGATTTCCTTTATAGAAAACTCTTATAATAGCGTAATAGAGTTAAAATCTTAATCTGAACCCAACGTGTTACCTGTAATACCACAGCATTCTGTGGTACGATTAAAGAAAAATGGAGCTAACCCTCAAAAAATTAGGGAATTGAGGCTGGGAGATTAAATGACTTGGTCAATGTCAGGTCAATTGTTAGAGGCAAAATTAAGAACAAAAGTGAAGTGTTATCACTCCCAGACCAAGTTCTTTCTATTAGGCCATGTTACCTCATCTTATTGGAAACCACATGATTATCAATGATTTTTTAAATATTTACTTTTGAAAAAAAAGAGATTAACATTTACTAGCATTCACTGAGTCTAGATACTTTCATATACTATATCTAATTTAATATTGACAATAATTCCAAAAACTATCAATGAGGAACAAATAACCAAAACTCAAAGATGACTAAAACATTATGTACAGAATCACAGAAAGACATGGCTAGAACCTACCACATCGATTTGTAAAATCTCTATGTGATCCCCAAAATATTAACCCTAAGCTGAGGATTCTCAACATTTTTTAGTTGGTAATCATAGGGTTGCTTCTGTTTCCATCGCATTTTCAAAAATGGATAAGTTCCAATTCAATTTTTTTCCTATTATAAGAAACTGTATTAACATAATCAATTCCAATAGCGATTACAGGTTGTTTGCTTTTTTTTTTTTTTACCTGGAGTAATAATAATGCTATTAGCTTCTCGAATCATGTCAATTGCATTGTCAAGGTTGATTTCTGTATGTGTGCCAGAAATTTCCATGGGTTTTCCACCAGCTGTTGAAGTAGTACCATAGCCTCCAAGAATCACATTAGCCAGGGAGCGATTCATTGCCTGGAGAGCAAAATTATTAGCTGCGAGAGTTTAATCCACATAACTTTTTGAAAGTGGTATGAACCCTGTGTATATGATATTCATAATCATTTTAAGAGGTTTATTTGATCATCTAAAAAAATCACATAGATCACATCTATAAAGTCAACTGTACACAGATATATTTTCAGTAAAAGTTAATTTTAAAAAAGAATTTAATGGAAAATTACCAATAATATTAAGAAATTAATGAAAAATTCAGATCCAGTTATTACTGTCCATGTACTGATTAAGCAACTTCTACCTCCATATTCACATGTATTTCACCAGAGTAAAAGAGAATGGTATCTATGAGAAATTTTCCAAGGTGACTACAGATGTCTCAGGTGAATCCTGCTACCAGCTGTAAGCTGTCAAGAGACTAAAAGAAGGAAAGGAAAGCTATCCACGGCATTTAGAAGTCTGCTGCCCTCTGTCGTCAAGAAAAAAAGAAATGTGGGAGTTGATAAGGTCTTATTTTCCAAATCAACTACATACAGCTCCAGGAAGCTGTAACAGAAGTGACTAGATTCATCATTAGGCTCCTAAAATATTTACTTCCAAAAAGGTAGATGAGTAAGTTCATACACTGTTTCATTAAAACTTACACCTGCCCTTTTAACTGGAAAAATAATCTCGGAAAAGAAATCAGAGGAAGGCATGTTCATTTACAATCATCCAACAATGTGCCACACAAATGCGACAACTGAAACATGACAATGGCATGTGTGTTTCTAAAACAGTTCATCTGTAGACCTCGGGAACTGGGGTGGTAAAAGACAAGACAAGAAGCTAGATGGCTTGGGTAACCAAATGCCTTTTAAGAATTCAAATCACTGTAAATGAAGAAAGCAGTCATTTTACATGATCATAAACTGGATTTCTCACTTCAGAAAAAAATCCAAAAAATTATTAAACCCTATTTTAAGGGCTATAATAAACATATCATTGATCCATTGTTTATTCCATGTAAAAGCTATATAAGTGTTAATCTATCACTTTTTTAAAAAAAGACAATACTTTATTATTAAAGAACAAAAAGCACCTGAAGATTTTCAGTGACAAGTAACACACTGGGAGAAAAAAAAATCATGACCATCCATCCAAAAACAGCCCAGCCTGCTACCATCTTAGTGGAGACAGGTACATACACTGCTCAAGTGGGACAGAGGTAGAGGCAGGGAGGAAAAAGCAGCAGAGAAGATAAACAAAGAGCCATTAAAGGCAGCATATCAATAACATAAACATGATGAATCAAAATGTTGTCAGAATTTTTTAAGTTGTCCTTTTGACTGAAGCTCATCTCTCAGACACAGCATTCACACTTTAGAGAGCCCAAACCCCAGTAAACTGGTCTAAGATTATTACATACAAAATAAATACCCTCAGAATACCTTTACATATTTATGAAGAGATAAGAGGGTCAGAAAAATCAATAATGCTTTTAATTAGGTATATAATCCCAACCTGACATGAAGATGTAAATTCTTAACCCAACCTCCTATACTTAAATCCAAGTTCTACTGAAAATCCAAATAGCCATACCTGAGATTTCCAAACATTCAATTTGTGGATTTTGACAAATTCTTTCTAGTTTTGAATTAGAAGATTCTGAAATTAAATTACCAGAAATATGTTCTACCAAATGTTTGCCTTAAAAACTGGTTCAAAGGACTATTTCAGACATTGATGTATTTCTGTCATAGATAACTTCTTTTAAAAAAGTCAAACCCACAAAGCAGCTCCATCACCTGCATCACACAGTCCTGCAGAGGGACAGATGTCAGAGGGACATGATGTAGAGGGACAGATATACAAGAATATGACCACTTTATTCTAACTTGGCTTAAAAGGAACCATTCTATACAAAAAATACAGATTCGAAGGGACACATACCACCTCCGGTGTTTATGGCTATCTACAATAGCCAAACTATGGAGAGAGCCCAAATGTCCATCGACTGATGAATGGATAAAGAAGATGTGGTATGTGTATACAATGGAATATTACTCAGCCATCAAAAAGAAAGAAATCTTGCTGTTTGCAACAACATGGATGGATCTAGAGGGCATAATGCTAAGTAAAATAAGTCAGAGAAAGACAAATACCATGATTTCACTCATATGTGGAATTTAAGAAACAAACAGATGAACATAGAAGGAGGAGGAAAAGAAAAAAAGGAGAGAGGGAAACAAGCCATAAAAGACTCTTAAAAATAGAGAACAAATTGAGGGTTGATGGAGGGAGGTGGGCAGGGGATGGGCTAGGTGGGTGATGGGTATTAAAGAGGGCACTTGTGATGAGCACTGGGTGTTGTAAATAAGTGATGACTCACTGAATTCTACTCCTGAAACCAATATTGCACTGTATGTTAACTAGGATTTAAGTAAAAGCTTTTAAATAAATAAATAAATAAGGAACCATTCTTCTCTCCCTAGAAAACTGAATGGAGGAGAAGAAAAGAATTTCTGAGGACATTTAATTAATATTTACCCACTATTCTAATGGCATCTTCAGGAGAAAAAAAGGGAACCATACAGTAGTTTAACAATCAAAGTCAACTTGTTGAACACATACCCACAATTATATCACCATTAAGCTGATTCCATGTGGTCTCTTAAAAACTAAATTATTTTTCATCTCTGAATTTACCATTGCAACATCATATTTTCAACAAATGTTTAGGGTTTAGGACTTGTTCTGTTCTTTTTTTTTTTATTTTGCTTGTTTAAGTGATTAATGAGACTATCCTGTGACCACTGATCCACAGATTGAGGAGTTCCCAGCTTCCAAGACAAAGTATTCACAACACTGTCCAAGACTGTTCCTTTTAAGTTATTAAGCCCTATAATGAAAATTGCATGCTACATTAAAGAGATGCTTAATTCACATAATTCCAAGCAAACTCTAAGAAAAAAATCTGAAAACAAAGGAAAGGCCATAAAATAGACAAAACCAAAGCAATAATAACATATACTCTATTTACTATCATCTCTCATTTCAATGCTTTGTGGGTGCTGAGTAATTGACTGCAAAGCAAAAAAAAAAAAAATTATTATTGGTTTGGCTTTGATCCACTTCATTCTGTTCTATTTTCATTTGGAAACAAGTAACAAAGTGCAAAAATCAGAAAATTCGGTTTGAAAATGCTGTCCCATTTTTGCAAGCCCTCTATTTCCCAGGCAATTTGAACACTATCTCAAGTAAATGGACTGTAAAATCATGAAGAGGTTAATGTCTATATGACACCTGACATAAAGCAAATTATTCATTTGAGGGGGCTATCTGGACACTACCGACATTTTTCAGTTTAATCTTGGATATTATATAACCACAAGCATGCGACTCAGAAGACACCCAAAAGAATTCTTTGTCAGAACAAAAGTGCAATTTTAGGGATTACTGATTAGCCACTCGGGGAGCATTCCATTCCCTCTCACATAATAAAACCACTCTGTTCCAGTTTGGACTTGCATGTTTCCTCAATAAATAATAAAATATTGAAGCTAAACATACTAGCATTATTAACAGATACTGATATATGGCAGGACATCTGTAACCATGACCTATCCAGAGAAGATTCCAAAATATGAAATGAGCAAGCAAATATTCATCTAATGTTCATTTAATAATTATTATACTCGTATGAGTGTGCCGGGGGCTTGGTTAGCTTCCCTAAACACAAAGGCCAATAATCAATGGCGTCTTCAAATACCTTCCTTGTAAAATGAGAGTATTTTCTACCTCCAGAATTAGCCTGGAGATTAAATAAGCTAATATTTGTAAAGCACCCAGTGTTAATGCCTACAGTATGTTAATGCCTACTACTATGCCCAATTACACGTGGCTATTTCATTTTTATTATTAATATGAACCACTCTGAGCTGCTAAAACACCAGCCATGAAGAAACAATTTCTTGTAATAAAGAAGCACAAGCCAAGAATCAGTGAAGATTACTGGGAAAAGTCAAAATCAGGGCAATTTAGAAGGAAAGAAAATTTCTATCTTCAAAATTAAAAAATACAGCAGGCTGGTTTTTGCTGTTGCCTTGTTTGTTTTGTAATAAGACGAAGGGAGGGAGAGCGTGCAGGAAAACAAGTGCCCCACACATCGCTGGTGAGAGCTCAGCCTGGAGAGTCCTTTGTGGAAATCAATTCATCGATATCAACAACCAACACAAAGCCCTTACTCCATTCCCAAGGAAATAATCAAAATGCGCAAGGAGGTACACTGAAGGAAAAAAAAACACTAATTATTAGTGAGATAAACAATTCAGAATATACTCGAACATATGCTTATGAAAAAAGACTGGAATTAGAATACTAAATCTTAAGAGTTAAGTGGTAATGGCATTACAAATGATTTATCTTTTACTTTCTTCCAAATTTCCCACATTAAACATCTTTTATTTTTGTAATTGTATAGTATTTTTTAAAAAATTAAAGCTTCAACTGTCTTTGAATCCAAATTAATACAAGTTGCTATTTTAAACAGAGCATCCATCTGATCCAGTGTGACACGTGTCAGGGACAGCTACAAGAACACTTTATTATAGAGCACAGGAATAAAAAAGAGCTATGCTATGTTGCCAATAAATGACATGCCTGAGGCAGTGGAAATAGAAGGAAAAAAAACAAAAATATAGAAAGCAGATCAAGAAATATGAAAGGAAAGAATAAGAGAAAGATGATATAGGTACAAAAGTACACACAGAGAAAAGTATTTTCAACAAGTGCCTCTTACTACCTTATTCTAGTTACTGTCATAGAACTGCTACTGTAAGTGTCTGTAGTTACTAGAACCAATAATAATAAAAGAAACTAGATGAAGAGGAAGGGGGGAGGAAATAAAAAAGACACAGGCAAATTTGGGATATACTATTGATACATTTAAAAACCTAAGTAAAACCATTTAAGAAAAAAACAGTAAAGGCAAGAAGGCACCTGTAATGATACTCCAAGAACTAGACACAGGTCCTCACCTCTCCCCCTATCAGCAGGCCACTGGCTTTGTTAAAATCAAATCCTCCCATTTAATTTTAAAATCAGAATTTTGACCAACCACAAGTTTAAGTAATAATGAAAATCTGCTGCCCCCTGCTGATCATTTAAATTCACCAAATGAAGCAAAGTCAAACTAAGAGTTAAAAGTTCATTTTTAGAAGCTAAGTGAAATAAGTCAGTCAGAAAAAAGACAAATACCATACAATTCCACTCATATGTGGAATTTAAGTAACAAAACAAACGAAGGAAAAAAGAGACACAAACCAAGAAACAGGCTATAGAGAACAAACTGATGGTTACCAGAGGGGAGGTGGGTGGGGGGATGGGTGAAATAGGTGATGGGGATTAAGAATACACTTATCATGATTTACCATGATGAGCACTGAGTAATGTATAGAATCGTTGAATCGCTATATTATACACCCAAACTAATATAACACTGTATGTTAACTACACTGGAATTAAAAAACTTTTTTACAAAGTTCATTTTTAGAGAAAACTATTTCTAATACAACTGAATAAATTTTTCCTTCTTTATAAACATTTGTTTTTTAGAACCCCAAAGCCTGAAACTTTTCAAACAGGAGACCCAAACCACCTCCTTTCCAAATTCCCTGAACGACTGGGGAGATTTAATTTTAAAACCTCTTCCTCAGGGCTATCAAATCCTTTGTTCTACAAAATGGCCAAAGAAAACTGATTTCTTATTATAAAAAGATAGCTTCAGCACTCAATTTACAAAGAGATTTTCAATTAAAACATACGAGGAATTCTGAGTTATAAATAACGGGCTTTTTAAATATTGTAATAAAAGAAGGGAGGTGGCAGAAGTACCCTTTCTCTGCCTGAAGGATTAATCACCGTAGAGTCATGTTCTGAGGTCACTCCATTGCACACTCGCCCTTCCACAGTCATTCAGAACTACCACCGAGAAAACAGTATCTATCATTTGAAAAACTTTCCTAGTCAAACCTTTAATTATTTGCAGTATATCTTCTTGCCTTCTTGTAGAAACAAAAAGGAAGCTAGGAAGTATTTGTTTTCTTGATTTTTTTCTTTCTTTCTTTATTTTTTTTTTAAGATTTTATTTATTTATTTGACAGAGGGAGACACAGCGAGAGAGGGAACACAAGCAGGGGGAGTGGGAGAGGGAGAAGCAGGCTCCCGGTGGAGCAGGGAGCCCGATGTGGGGCTCGATCCCAGAACCCTGAGCCGAAGGCAGACGCTTAACGACTGAGCCACCCAGGCGCCCCTAAAAAGCAGCTTAAACAAGAAAATTACTTAGAATATAGTAAGAATACAGTAAGAAGAAAAGAATAAAATGGAAGGGCGGTGGGTGGGGGGATGGGGTAACCAGGTGATGGGCATTAAGGAGGGCAGGTGTTGTGATGAGCACTGGGTGTTATATGCAACTAACGAATTGTTGAACACTACATCAAAAACTAATGACGTTCAATATGCTGGCTAATTGAACATAATAAAAAAAGAAAGAAAAAAGAATAAAATGGAAAATAGTATACAGTATGATCAGATAAGTAGATACACAGATATGCAGTAAAGAAAGAAACAGAATAGAAAGAAATAAACCAAAATCTTAAGTGCTTATCTCCAGATGGAGTCAGATTTTTTATCTTGATATTTAATTTTCCTAATTATCTACACTTGGGGACTTTAAAAGCAGTCTTGGAAATTTATTAGAATGAAACACTCTGATATTTCTACCGAAGAAAAGTAAGAACTGACATAGTCATTTTTTACTGCAAATAAAGTAACAAACAGATCCTTATTTTCAGAACACCATTTCCTTTTTGTTGAAACACCTATTTCTTACCACACACATGATGTAGGACAGGATAGCGCCAGAGGAGCCTATGAGCGCCCCCACGATGGTCAGCAGGTTGTTGTTCAGCAGGAAGCCCTCCGCACACAGGGCCCAGCCTGAGTAGCTGTTCAGCACAGTGATGACGACGGGCATGTCCGCACCCCCGATAGCAGCTGTCAAAGTCACACCCTAGGATGAAACCCAAAGCAGAAATCAAAATTAATAAAATAAAAATAAAACCTCTGACACTGGACATCTTGATCCTTAATCATTCTGGTTTTCCAATTAATATATTTATCTTGAAGTTCCACTGGGGTAATGACCAAGTGCCTCCCATATTGATCAATTCTCCCACAGATATAACATGTGTAAACACTGAACCACGACCACCCCCCCCGAAATACCCCTAAATCCCTAACAGGCAGTGATGAAAAGCAGGCAGAAACTAGAGAGGGGTCTGCACTTGAGAAAAAGTAACAGCACTGAGTGAATTTCCCAGTTTTTATGGCGTTAATGTAAGGGCAGGCCCCTGGTGGTGCCAAGAGAAACAGCTAAATCCGAAATATAAGCCCATAGTCTTGCTAGTTTGAAAGTCCTAGGAGAGGATTTAGGGTGACTACAGCAGCTGCAAAGTGAGAAGGGAAACTACAGAGGAGCAGGCTAAAGAGAGGGAGCCCCAAATTCTATGTATGAACTCTGCCCAAAACTCTGGTTCTTTAACTATGCATATGTGGGCAGACTCCAAGCAAACCTGTTAAGGATAAAATAATAACAGATTTCAGCTGCTCCCACAATAAGGGAGCCAGATTTGAAATCTGATTTCAAATTAGCTGCCTACAAAAACAAATAAATAAAAAATAATGATCAATACTCCTTGGAGGAATACAACAGAATCCAAAGTCTCTCTAGTGCAACCCCAAATCACTAAACACAGGAAAGGGAAAAGAATGATGGGGAGAAAGATTTTTGCTTTTTATTCCACAAACACCTATGTATTTTGAGTTTAAGATGTGAATGTATTCATGTACTACTTAATGAAGTCAAAAGCAATTAAAATAGGGGCGCCTGGGTGGCTCAGTTGGTTAAGCGACTGCCTTCGGCTCAGGTCATGATCCTGGAGTCCC